TGTCATTATCCAGCCCGAAGGTCCGGAACAACATTTGACTATTTACAAGGAATGGTTTACATCTGACGCAGGGGCGAAAGCTAAAAAGTAGCCTTCTATCCCTTTCCCCTATAACCCTGTTGAGTTTTTATTTCACATGTCAACGCCAACCCGATGCCGTGACGAGTACATGTCGACACAAAATAACAAACAGGTATCATCACAAAAAAACCGAAAAAAGCGAAATGTACAAAAGCAAAAACAAAAAGCAGGGTATCTATCCAGGGTGTCATAATTCCTCAGTGAACCGGGAGGCTGAACCGTGGGAACGACTCGACCCATCGTGAGAAGGGTGGGATCGTCCAAGTGGATCTCGGGGAGGCGCAAGTTCTGAACCAGGACTGAAAGGTACCTGCTCCGTCTTTGGAGTCCGAGCCGGCCCCGGGTTGAAGACCGGGATTCCGCTTTCCGGCCGCATCGGGGCACCCACAGCTAACCTAGTCGGCGCGAGCCCACCGCCTAGTCCAGGGAAGGCCGAGTCTCGATAATCAATGGACTGCTCGCTTAGAATAGTATCGCGGGGATCCGAATAGCCATCCCCACCGAATTGAATAACCGGAGGTAACTTCCTCCCAGAAACCTTAGAAAATCCTCGTTCGCCCCCATCCGAAGAGGCGGCACTACGTCCAGAGAAGTGTTTATATCCAGTCAAGCTGGCGAGAGCCGCGGGAATTGCAAAGGGAACTGAACGCCGTCGTGTTTCAGACATACCGCCCTCTCCTCCCCCGCCAGGACCGGAATTTCCAACCAAACCGCCGCCCGGGCCTCGTTCACTCGTGGAGCCTCGTATGAGCTTAAGGGTGTTCTGGCGTTTCTTCCATCTAAGAAGGAAGAGAGCAAGAATCAAAATACCTGCAAGTGCAGCCACACCTCCTAGAACACTTCCCGCGACCGTGGCCGCCTCGGGCCCATTTGAAACGGAGTCGCCATCGGTCGCTACGGCATTCGAAGATGATGGTTGTGCATTGCCAACGCCAGCAGTACTGTCTCCCGTTTGGGTAGGTACTCCCCAAGAACCAAAAGTACTCGACGTGGGGTTAGAGCGAGTGGTAGTCGTTGACGAGGAAGAAGAAGAAGAAGTAGTAGTAGTAGAAGAAGAAGAAGAAGAATCAGACGAAAGTATAGTACTAGATGACTCAGACAAGGAGGAATTAAAACCCTCGATGGAAAATGAAGGTAACGGAGTAGAACTAGTACTGTTGAGAGAAAGAGTGGACGAAGAAGCTACGCACGAGTTAGCAACTAATAGCGGGACGAAAGCGAATAATCATTTATAATAGTAGATTTATAATAGTAGTGATAATTTAATAATAATAATAAAAAATAAGAGACTTACATTGGGTTGTGTTAGTCACGCCAGCCAAGGATGGAAAAACGGGAGAGCCTGATAAAGGAGTGGACGTCAAAGGCGAATAAGATAACGTGGGAAAGATAGTAGGCATCGAAGACTCCGACGGTGCTACGGTCGGGTCTATCGTGGGGATGGAAGTCGAAGAGAGGCCGTCGCCTTCATCGTCGCTGGTTCCCGGGGAAGAAGTAGGTAAGCCTAGAGCAGAACTTGAAGTTGAACTTGAAGTTGAACTTGTTGTTGTGCTCGTCGGGTCGACATTAACGTCGGGTTCGGAGCTAGTAGTGATATAGCTGGACGACGTAGGTGGTGTCGAGTTGGAGGATGGCGTGAGGGTCTGGGTAGTAATGGGGACACCGGAGGAATCGATAAGCTCAAGAACGGAAACGGTCGTGACGATTATAGTGGGTTCCGAATCGGTGCGTTTGTGGCCCCTTTTGTTACTGTTTTGAGAACGAGCGTCGTGGGTGTGGTGAGTACGGTGGTGGTAATGATGGTGGTGGTAGTGACTGTCTCTGGAATTGTGAAAATGATCGTGTTGATGTACGTCTCGGGTCTGAGGGAGTGAAGACCCCGAGACTGGGGTTGTCATCGCGCGTGGCGGTGAATTGGAGAAATACGAGCTTTTTTTTTCAAAGTGCGTGCGTGCGTGTAAGCGTGTGTACTAGAATACTAGTTTTTTTTTTTTTAGAGGCAGAGTCGGATTCGCTGGTGGATTTGGGGGGCGCGGTTCGCGGTTTGCGGTTCGCTGCTTGGATGGATTCGTTTTTTGGCCCGACTAAAAAAGCTGCGGCTGGCTGGCTGGCAGGTAAAACTGGCAGGTAAAAGAGAGAATGAGAATGAATGCGTTAGTTAGGTTGCTGATCGTCCAGAATAGCATCCCATCATTATCGTATTATTATCGTCCCCTATTCCTACTTCTATCTTTGTAAGTCCTTCTATCGTTGCCGGATCCTCATTGTTGGCGCGAGAGGCTCTGGAACCGAAACATCGACACCCACAAGCGACGAACGGTCGGCCGGACGTTAAGGTGAGGATAAAGAGAGGTGAAGGAGAGGAGAGAAATTAATGAAACCCGACAGCGGGAGCGTTTTTGATAATATGTTTGCCAATCCAAAATTAAAATGAGATACTTCTCATCAGTGGACACACCCCCGAGCATCGTTAGCTTCGTCGGACGCTCGACATGACACTGAATTTGGGGGGGCCTTGTCTTGCTGTAAATGGACGACAAGTGCTGGAAGGGTGATGCTGCTCATTTCGCTTGGGCTGAGCGTTGTCCCTCTAACCAGGGGGTCATAAACATACGGACCAATCACACTTGATGGCTACGGACAAGGACATGGGCAAGCCCTTCTACGATTGGTCCGCGAGACGGGGATTTCTTTACAAACATACGGACATCTCTTGCATCCATCCTCATTATCATCACCAGGTCGTTGTACCATTCATAACGTTTTATCTCTTGAGCCCCTTTTAGGACTCTTCTACATATCATGACGGTGGATATCAACTTGATTCGATAAGTAGGGCATTGCAAGGTAGGTGAGTAATGTAAGTTCCTAATATATAGTTAAACTATGATATATCAAAACATTGGTGCACGGGCGGACGAATATAATTGTACTTCTCCATACCCCAAACCAACATGCCAAGCCTGTAACCAATGCAGGAACACGAAGTTTTAACTGCAGTAGGTTGGTAACCTAAACCCACACAAGGTTAGCCACAGGTAAGCAAGATACGGAATACATAGAATCATGATTCGATCCATTCGTGTGTAGCCGCCATATGCAAACCACCCGGTCCATCGTAGATTAGACAACTTATGGTTGGCGGGTAGCAGAGCAGCCCGTATTCCTTGGTGCAGATCTGCCTGCTGGAAAAGCCACGCGATTGGGATTGATTGATTCCTCTGACAGATAAATGATTCATGACTGCGTTCGTACCACCATCTCAATCGAGGGTTTCTCACTCCTTCTCCTCACCTTCCCCTACTACCTATTGTTACATTTTTGCTGAGAGGACCGGCCCAGTCCGCACTCTGTCTGGTCTAGGTACTCAGATCGGTCTGGCAGTCTGGGCTTACCTCTACATAGGACCTAATTTAGATGGCGTCAGGGTCCCCAAGCCAAAAGGTGGGCCGCCTTATTTATACCGCGGGTACTTACGCACAGCTCTGGTACATACTTGGCTTTCCCAAAATCATCTTGTTTTAGGGGAATTGCGTCATAATTCATATGAGATTCTCCGGTAATGGGGTTAAGAATATCTAAATCTTAAGTAGAGAGAAAAGTGAGATTGCTTAGTTAGGTACTTTGAATATATCAATGTTTACTTTAGTAAAGGAAGGGATACGTACGCACTTATATAAGGTAGGTAGGCATTAATTATGTTGTTGTGAGACCACGAATCTCAAGCTAGGATGCTCCTAGTTTAGCACGAGCCGCCATCTATATTAGCTTCGGTTTACGCCCTATTTTTGCACCAAGTCCGCATACCATACGCACTACTATCGTCGTGTCTAGACTCGCAACAGCGTGAGATTCGTCGCTGTGTCTTTATAGCCTAACTAAATGATATCTAGCATGTTACGAGTGTACGGATTACGTTGCTCGTGTTTCAACATCTCGTTACGTGCGAAACTTACAATACACGTCTTCAATAGTATCCGAAAAGGGTAAGTAAAAAGAATACCATGGTATTGTGGTCTTGAACAAGGCTACTACACAACAGTACTAAAAGAGACTGTCTCATCGCATCATATAACATCTTATATAATAGTGTAAGTGGCTTGCCAATAGTGGCGCTTATGTAATGTCAACTCTTACTAAAAAAACCCGAGTTCACGGTCAGTCCTCAATTAGCCTCAGATCTTACAAGAAAGAGAAGAGTACTTTAAAACATGATGTGCTAAATCTACTGAGCTATCCAGTTTTTTCTTATATTTGCCATTTTCCAATCAGGGAGGTGATACCTATTTAGGAGTATCACCTTACAATAAGAGTAGTTGTCATACGTGCTGGTTTGTGTTGATGATTAAATCTCACTTTTAACCCCTAAAAAAGAAGTCGATAGCGGAGCGGCCTACGGCAAAGTAAAACAACGGATCTACAAATAGGCTTGCTAGTAATGCGGCGGTCAATTAGAAACAAATCTCTTAGTTCGCTTAAACAACTTCATAACAATAACATTAAGTACTTACCTAATTATTAGAAGGTATTCTCGGCATTTTTATTCAAGTTACATATTAAGAAACCAGGTAACTAGTCAACCGAGAAATATCAAGAATATGAAAAAAGATAACGATACCCTCAACCATCAACTGTAATCTGCCGCTTGAAAAAAAAAATCAAAGGAGGTATCTAAACTAGGCCGAATATTAGAGAATCCCAAATATTACCGTCTGTTTTGAGCTTAGGTAAAGAAGCCTGTTGTATGTTCGAGTTGCATTGTTCTCGAACCTACCCTCACTCTCATATAAGGTAAGAACCTCATTAAATCCAACAATTTTATGAGCATCTACCCTCATACTTAGGTAGGTATCTACCTAGGGATTTACTTGGATTGACCCGCAGCTTTTGAAGTGCTTAGCTTAATTAAATTACTACCTAGGTAGTCATTTATTGATGGGCCTCCTCGCAAGCGTACTATATAGCAGGGTTGACGACTATGTTAATCATGTCGGTGGTAGTGATAAGTCAAGCCGTCGGGTCGCATACCATTCTAAGCTACATCCCGAGTGTAAGGTGTATGTTTGAGGAAATAATATGGTTGGGACTGGAATCATCTTCTAGTTATATGATAAACTAACTTGAACAGCCTGGTTGGACCCATGCACATAGTAATAGCCGTATTAATTTCGTCCTGGGGGTATCACGAAAATGCTTTGATGCTAATCTTATCGATCAATGCTCGTATTTTCTCGGGGGTAGCCCGAATCAACGCCAAAACGCCGTCCAGTCATTCATATTCCCATCCAAAATCTCCTAGGCGAACGATACCCTCTTCTTCTTAGGTTTGGTGGCTTTTGTCCCAGCAGATGCGACTTCCTTGATTCCATCACCGTCGTCGTTCTCATTAGACTGCTTAATCCTCTTCCTCTTTCTTCTCAGTGAATCCTTAGTATCGTCGAGCTTTGCCTTTTTCTCGTCCTCCTTCTTCTCCGCCTCAACCCTTCTCGCCTCGCGGATTTCTTCCATCTGTCGGGCCTTGATCATCTTGGATTCGATCTCTCCATCCTTGTCGGCCTGGACCATGGCTAGAATCGTGGTCATGCTTTCCTATTGACGCAGCGACACATGTTAGCATTAATTCGTTGGCTGAAATGGAATAACCACATGCGAACTGGCCGTACCTTGTCGTCTACGAAAACTTTGCCCTTCTTCTTCCCTTTAGGCTTTGTAACTCCAACCGGGGTCACCATATTCAATTCTGGAATACCCAATTCCTTCTCCGAGTAGACCCTCTTCTTTTTCTTCTTCAGTAGGTCAGGAGTGTTTTTCCCTCTTACTTGCTTCGAGAGCACCGGACCCTTCCGTTTTGACTTGACGATGCCATCTGACGGACCTCCTTTTGACGATTTGCTGGAACTTATACCGGATTTGTTCGCGGCATGTTTATTTTTGACTGTTTTTGTTCTCGAAGGCGCCATTTTTACAAAAGTTCTGATGCGACGAGATGTAGCTTGAAGACTTTGGCGCGACCTGCGGAGTGTAGAAATAAAATTGGACTTTTACTTATCAGCGGTAAGAGATAAGCACATAGGTAGCGCAACCCACTTACTCAATCAGGAAAAGGAATTGGCTAATAAGCCGCCATCTGTTTAGTTGAAGCCGTACATATGTTTAGGTATATTTATTTTTATCATGTAAGCACGTGAATATGCCTTTTTAATGTCTATACGCAAACATGTCCAATATTCATATGTCAACTTCCCGTTAACCCATGAGTCTTATCCTAGGAGAAATATTACTCTCCTCTTATCCTAGATAGACTACCTATCCCTCATTAGCTGTTTGATTTCACCAGAAGCTTTAATATTATATTATGCGTTTCACACATGATTTAACAAATAGCTCTAGCAGCGCCTCTAAGACAGAATATGCAAAAGCGGTAATCTAGCTACAAGTTGTTCGATGCCGAAATATCGGCATTCATGCTTAAAGCGTAACTTAAAACTATGCGCTTTGCTTTGAACTCAATACCCTGGTCTTCGGGACGGTCCGCTCATCGACCGTGTTCGAATATACGACGTCGTAAAGAGCTACGTTGCTCGTATATACCTAAATAGAGCGGTGTTTCCAAAAGAACAGGATAGTCATCGAATACCACCATTATTTGCCCTCGCAGGGTTTGACGCTTGAAGCTATTGGGTTTAGACGTAGCCAGAGCTTACGAAGAATCTCCCGCAAGGACTCGTTAATATCATCAATATGAGTCTCCGAACTACCTAGCATTTTGAGCTTTCAAAGCTACTCCAATTAAGGCCCATGGAAATGATAACGGAATGTATTATTGCTTTTTTTCAGTTGGCCAGAATCTACGTTATAGTCGGTATGCCCCACTGATCGGCAGAAGCCTTATGGTGGCCTGCAGGTGAGGTAGCGCTATAGAAACCCCTAAAACGAACAATTAGCTTTATCGTGATTGGTCAATCGTCTGACGCTATAGCTTTCGCCTTCGCATAAGCCGATCCTCGGCCTATCAGAAAAAAATACAAGTTAATACATTCTTCCTAAGTATGTAGGTAGTTAGCAACTTAGAAAACTAAGAAGTTAATTCAGGAACAAACGACATACCTAAACGAAAATGGGTTCTGAAAAGGCTACCCCGCGATGGGCAGCGTTTACCCGCGACACCAACGAGACCAAGATTCAGCTCGCTCTGAACCTCGATGGCGGGGCATTTCCTGAACATACCGACCCCCGCCTCCTAACGTCCGTCGCCGAGGGCCATGCCAGCCAGTCGAGCAAATCGCAATCCATCAGCGTAAACACAGGCATCGGCTTCCTCGACCACATGCTCCACGCCCTGGCCAAACACGCCGGCTGGAGTTTAGCCCTGGCGTGCAAGGGCGACCTCCACAGTACGAGCCCGCCCACCAACATGACATGATGAAGAACGAAGATCCGCTGACAAAGAATAACATCGCAAAGTCGACGACCACCACACCGCAGAGGACGTGTGCATAGCGCTAGGATACGCTTTTGCGAATGCGCTGGGCAGTGCCACGGGTCTAGCACGCTTCGGATCGGCATATGCGCCGCTCGACGAGGCGCTCTCGCGCGCCGTCATCGACCTGTCGAACCGGCCGTACAGCGTCGTCGAGCTCGGACTCAAGCGCGAGAAGATCGGCGACCTAAGCACGGAGATGATTCCGCACTGCCTGCAGAGCTTCGCCCAGGGCGCCCGCGTTACCCTGCACGTCGACTGCCTCCGGGGCGAGAACGACCACCATCGCGCCGAGAGCGCTTTCAAGGCCCTTGCTGTTGCGATCAAGCAGGCTACTACTAGGATACCCGGGAAGGAGGGCGAGGTGCCAAGTACGAAGGGGACTTTGAGCGTATAGCTTCCTAATAGAAATGGTTAAACTTCCAACAACAGATATATTTACATACCAAAGCCTCTATGATAATCTAATTACCTGGGAGTTTGATATCTACTAAATTTGAACCTCTACGATGGTCCCGCATCTCCCCTTCCCCCTTTCTCCTCGACATGTCATTCACATCATAGATACTCTTTGGCCTCACATCTTACGTTAACAGCTTGACAGCTTGACAGACGATCTCGTATTCATACGACTGTTGTTATTATTATTTTTCAGCTTGTTTATTCGGCAGACGACGAACATACTTTGCTTCTCATTTAACTTCATTTTATTATATTCATACCAGCCAAGCAATCCTGGTGGCTAAGAGTGTTTACGTTATATGCGTGATAGTATACTATTAAGAAACTCAACGCGATCATTACGGTTCCGCCACAATGTTCCCAGCCACGTCTGGCAATCTCATCAGGATTCATATACATAAAGCAGCGAGCGACAACATCCCATATGCTAATCCTGTGAAGGGTATCACTCCCAGTTCATACATATTTTTATCTTAAAAGGTACCGTTCCCCTCATGTTCATGAACAAACTCTTCAGTTAGAAAAGCGGTGTGCGCTTAGTAGCGGTAACCAGCCGGCGTGGTATGCGATGTCGCAGTGCCGGCCTCGGGGTACGCAACTTGACCGTCGTGCTGGTACTTGTTATTGTGCACTCCATTTTCATGACCGACAGCCGTAGTCTCGGTGTTGTAGCTCTGGCGCATCTGGTCTGGGTGGGTGTGCTCAGGCAAGATGTTAGGGTTTGGGCTATCTGCAGTCTTTTTTCGGCGGAATAGTCCGAATATGCCTCTCCGCCCGCCGTAGCCCGACGTGTAGTTGTTAGCGGGACTAGGGCCAAAGCGCTGTTCCTTGCGTCGGTGACGGACGAGGACAACCTCGAGAAGCGCAGAGAAGACGAAGAAGACACTGATATACCAGTTAGTAAGTTATACGAACAACCCGGAACAAGAACACTTACACTGCTACAATCGAGACGGCTAGACAAGCAGTTTCCATCTGGCAAACTTGTCTATAAGTAGGGTGTTGATTGTTGATCAAGTCCTCAGCACGGCCGGTGCCAAAAAGCGTATCGACCGTGCCGGTGCAAGTGCTGGCTCCACTACGAGTAGCGCTAGCAACGTAGATATAGGACCCAATGAAGCAAATATCCAGCACAATGGCGATGAAAGAGGTGAAGGGGTGACCAGCCAGACAACACAAGAGTAGAAGCCCGAGAATGGTGTAGAGCACACCGATACCCGAGATACCCTCAACGGCACGCGCCCATGTTGGTATGGGCAAATTACGGTTAGAAAGTATTGCGAGGAAGTACGAGAAAAGTGCGAGGATGAGAGCGCTGCAACCGAATTGCACGCCGCGGATGAACCATTGAACTACTTTGAGCGCAAGGCCTGCTTTGGCGCCCATGATGGATGATAGTGGTTGTTTGCTAATTCGTACTATCAAATCGCAGTTGTACGGAGTAGTACGTTGTGGAATAGATCGGGAATTGAGGTAAGGTAAGGTGAAGTGAGGTGAGGTGAGGATGAGTAGTGTTGAGATGGAGAGCTTCCAAGAGATTCCGGGGATAGGTTAGAAAAGCTCTAGGCGCAAAAGATTTGTGCAGGAGTAGCAATAATATAAACTGGGGACAAAGGAGAAAGATTGAAATAATAGGTGGGCTAGGGTGAACAAGTGTGTGTCATAATTCTTCTAGGCGGTCGGTCAATGAAAGAGAATTGACATTACTTAGGATACATGAGAAAGATATCGTTCGGATCCCTCCACAGCAGCAGGCCGATGATAAACGCAGTTTTCTACTTGATCCAAAGCTGTGTACATACATACAAATTAACGATGACGAATGCGGTCAGAGTTTATCCCAATCTGAGCTAATATGTATAGCAGGGTACTGCCCCTCTACCAGCAAACAGCCCCTCAGTAAAGCTTCTCATTCGACGATGGCCTGTTACACTAGTGCCGATCTGCCGGCGTGACGTTGGGTCTCGACAGGGATAGAGAAAGGTTAACGTTTCTGATTCGTTACGAAACCCACAAAGCCACAGAACAGCGTCATAGCCTGTGGCTTCGGCAGCGGGCAGGTTTGGCTGTTTAGCCACACTCAACAGTTAATGACGATCGTCATCCGTCTCATCCGTTGTATGTATCGAAAAGAGCATCAGGTGCTTTAGCAAAGGGGAATTCGCAGCATGTGAATAGGTACTCCTAGGTTAGTCAAGTTAGAGTTTCAAAGCTCTTTTCTTAGAAATCATGGATTTTCTTTTTCCACCTTTAAATACATGGAGAATTTGAGAATACGATTGTTCAACTTTCATAGGTATTTTCTATGAATATTTTCGGAGGAGGTGGACCTAACTATACATACCTTTGATAGCCTATCGTTAGCCCGACATCTCATAAGATTTATGTTGTCGGAAGTTAATAGGAATACATATATTTGTTTTGCTTTTATCATCGTCGAAGCTTGGGTGGTAGCCATTGCTGGTGTCATCAACTTGTTGACTTGGCTAATAATTGCTGTTGTGAGTAAGACAGGTACCTAATCATTCCTGCTATTTCTAAAATTAGAAATCGTGTTGGACTCAAATCAATGGATAGGAAGACTGGATTTAAGAGTAGAAAATCTAATATTTATATATGATGTCTATATCGATACTCTTGTTAAAGCTACTGCTTTATAGCAAGGGTTTCTCGCCCGTTATTGCCAAGATACCCAATGATTAACTATACATAAAGAAACAGTTAACTATCCTGATAATGTCATTACTAAAGTTATCTACCTAGATAAGCTGCCGTGGATATTAGGGATAGGGATGCTTTGGGTAAGTCCTTATTCACGGATCGGTACAGTATGTGTGTTGACTAAGGTGTACTCACTTATTATTCTAAGAGGTAGCTGACCTTGCCAGCATCAAACAATAAGAATGGAGGTCTGGTCATATAGGGGGCCGCATTTTATTATGCGCTTTTGAGAAGCACACTCATGTGAGATGTCGAGGTTGAAAATGTTATGGATTTCAACGTTATATCTGATATGAACTCCTCAGTACCTAACCTCAAGCATCAAGCTGAGCTCAGCTTACCTTCATAAGCTTTCGCAGCTTCTTACTCTCTAGACAATGCTATCATGGGTTCTAAAGTAAGGGATTGGGGTAGCCTTTGTCTAACTTACCAAAAAATATGATGTATAACATCACAATCCGAGCCTGTTTCTGGTCAGGCTTTCATCAACAAGTCGTTTGGGCAAGCAGTTAGTCGTTGCAATTCTTTCTGGCACACTTTTCGGATATCATTGACTAATTTTGGGATGAAGTAGTAATTCCTTAAGAGTCCGCTTAATTTCGCCTGGAGCACCATACAAGCTCAAGACCAAGCTAAGCCTGTATGGTTGGTGAATAAGATCAAGCTGCTAATACAGTGAATGGGCCGTTTCTTACTACGAGAGGGAGTCTCCAAATGGCGCTACGCTGAATAAGCTGCAAAATGGTCTCGCTATCGACTTGAGCCGTCTAAACTGTATTGACCTCAGAACAAATATATGTTTGAACTTTCCGACCCTTCAATTATTATATTATCTCGAGCTACGATGAGTCTTACAGATACGAGAGCGTCGCTGACCAAGCTGAGGGCACCAGCCAATAAAGCCAGCGTTACTACAGGCTCCAGGCATTGCGAAAGACATCACTGTGGACCATTCCCTCTTACGGATCTAGTAACCAGCCTCGGTGACGGGCTCAATAACGTCGCGGATCTTGGCTCCGCCGCCAACGGTTACAATGGACGGATCGTAGCTGATATTATATCTCCGTGGAGCTAGACCTGATTTCTGCATTATCACATTTGCTACGTACAAATTATCTGAGCCTGTCAACGGTGGACAGGTCTTTTACGCCGATCTGATCTATCCGGCTAATATAAAGTCAGACTATTTCAATGTGCTTCAGCCATTCAATGGTCAGATGCTTCCTTAGCTAGTGTTTTCTAGTGCTATATTATAAAATTCCACTACCAACGAGGTAAATGTTTGAATCGCCCCTTTCCGAGTGTTGTATACGTGCGTAATGCTAACCATACCCTAAAACACTAATATTGGCCACGTTGATATGCGGTGATCCTAAGTCAGAGGCTCGCAAAGATCTCGCTACATTTTTCGACCTTAATCCATCTATTGTACGTATGTTAAGAACATCCCATCCTACCGCGGTCTAAACGTCGTACTCATAAGCATCCCGGATTTCTCATGCAACACGACAGAAGGCACCCATAGCATATATACGGTCAACGTCTGCTGATTCTCCGTTGAGACATGTCTAGCTCATCTAGAAATCTGCCTATATAGGCGTCCCCGCCGTGCTCTGCCTTTTGCTGCAATTCTCGCCCCTGGTAACCAAGTAGATGATTACACAATTGCTTACCGGAACCAAACTACTCGTGTTAGGAGGTAAACGTGTAATTAGGCCTGATATCAAGAGGCCGTAGTCTAAGCACACCGCTTTATGTCTTGGGCTAATATGCGAATAAGAATCATCACTAGACCTTAACCCTCTGTAGATATAAGAGATGATCTCATCTTTTCGATTTGCCCTTTGCCTTGGAAGCCTTTTGCTTGTCTACGAAATCTTTGATGATGGCATGGAGATCTTGATTTCGCCTGGCAAGCAGAAGAACATCGTCTGTGTTGATGGTAGTGCGTCCTGCATGGCGACTAAAGTTCTCTAGATCCAATGCAACGTTTTCTAGAATAAGTTAGCATATGTTGCTATGATAGAGTTTAGGAATTCATGAATGTGGATGATGATGATACCTATTTGAGCCCAGACCATCTCTGTCAAAGCGCCGATAAACTGGGGAGTGACATTTCTGTTCCTCCTCAGGGTTTCTTCGTCAACCATTTTCCCCACAGCGAACCATAGTGCAGCTTTTAGTTGCTATTAGTTATAAGTACTGAGTTAACAAACATTTCCTAGATAACTGGTTTAGAGTGCTCTCTCACCTCTCGCACCTCTTCCTCGGAATTATCCGCCATGACCGATTATGGTGCTCCGTCTAAATTTAGGACTTGTATAGTTTTAGGGGGGGAGGAACCGGCAATTGAACGCGTCTCGGTTACTTAACGTTAGACGCGTTAGGGTACTGAAAGTTTAAAGCTTTAGGTTAGGTAAGTGTACATACATGTAATTATGCACTCTACATACGCAGTAAAGTTTAGCGCTATTTTATATTACATAGGGGACCGTGCGCGCCAAGGTTACCAAGCGGCTTTTTTCGTTTTGGATGCTTATTTCACGCGGCAGTGAGCAGGGATTCCTACGGCTTAAAAAGTCTCACAAGCCTTATGCATTTGCGTATCTCCATTTGCATGTTATTTGCATGTTATTCATCATTGTCCCATTGCCCAATACCTGAGGCATTTGATATTTGATACGATATTACGCAACAATTCAACTTCTAATTTCTTTCTTTTTCCTTTTCTATTCCCTCGAATCGCCCAACAATCTATTCACTAATTCGCTACAACAATAAAGAGAACCATTTGCCCATCATGTCGGAACTCATAGATCTAGTCGCCCATCTGTTCGATTCGACATCCGAGCTCTATACGCTGGTTAGAGACCGCTTTGCCAACAACGTTAGCGAGTCGTTTACGTCTATGACGGCGAAGGAATGGATTCGGCTAGTCATCATCGTTGGTGCGTATGCATTGCTGCGACCGTATATCATCAAATACGGCGCCAAGCACCAAGAAAAGCAGCTCGAGAAACAATTCGCAGAAGAAGATGCAGAGCAAGCGGAGATATCGCCTAATCAATTACGCGGCGAAGCCGGCATACCTGAAGATAGCGACGACGAGGGGGAGCAAGCGAAAACCACGGCTTCGGATTGGGGAAAGAAGGCGCGGAAGCGCCAGAGGAACATGATAAAGAAGTTGCTGGATGCCGAGGAGAAGAGACTCCAAGAGCTACAAGAAGACGAAGAGGATAAGGATATTGAACAGTATCTAGTGGCAGACGACTAGGTAGTTGTACCATGTAGTAAGAGAATATCCATGTGCTTTATTATCCGTAGCTGGAATAGCAACAACAAAAAACCACCTAAAATTGGGCAATCAAATATTTATTGTCCTCGATGTACTCGATGTAATCGATCTAGTAGTACCTTACGCTAGCATTGTTAACTAAGCATTGTTAGGTATTCGATAATAGGCCTCTTCCGTGATGTTATATTTGGTCCGGCTGGTAAAGATGTCCATTTCGTGCATATTGTACGTTAGATACGTTAGATACGTAGTCTTCTTCTCCTTATTGAATAAAAGGGATGCGCCGTAGGTTAGATTCTTCCATAACCTAGGTACCTACATAGACCAAAGACCCCGCTACCTCCGAATGGGTCACGTGTTCTACGTAGTTGAGATAGCTTAGCTTATGAGCACTAATCTACTTGGGGTTAATCTAGCGCAACGGAAGCTTTGGAATGATCACCCGCCGCATCTTTCTGACAGAGCGAAGGCGATTTCGATTTCTAACACACGATTTACCCTGAGAAAACATTGGAAATCCTTCCGGCATAAACTACTTGTCCGGTTTCAATCCCATCACACTACCCGCCCGTAATATCGGCCGCTGCCGCTGCCGCTGCCATCTACGTCCTCATGAGATAACTCGGCACTCGATATTTTCCCCCATCTTCACGGACCCTTGATATCTCCCCCGCCTTCATCGGCCTCAAGCTTTTGGACTAGCCCGGCATGTCAAGCTTATTGCGGCGGTCGACCGGTCTTACGCGGGTCGCTAGCATTTCGCTCAGCGCCTCTGCCCGCTCTACTATACGATACTCGCGTCTGCTACCCACCTCTCAGTCTACCTGGGCAGTCCAGCTACAGCGTTACTATTCCGAAAAGAAGCCTGAGAACAAGAAGCCCGAGAACTCCGACGACGGGAAAGAAGTCGGTCGAAATGGGGTGCCTCGGCCGAAAACTCGAAATTCGAAACCCCAAGTGCAGAGCTCTCGATCGCCGGGACCAACCGAGGGTGACGTGCCAGTAACACCCGGTCCTAAAAAGGGCAACTCGTCCCTACTTCCCCCAGGTTGGACATACCTAACTGACGAGGAGTATGATATATTTAAGGGAATGGCCAATTTGGTTGGTATGACTAATAGCAAAATCTTTGATATTATTAAAAAGAGGGGAGTACCTGAAGAGTTTCGGGATATAATTAGAAACTATAAGACCGGGGCTACCGGCCCTAGCGATCTTGCGAGAGCATGGACGTCTGTAAAAAAGTTACAGGAGGCGTTGAACCCCGAAGAGCGTTCTGGGGAGCGGAAATCTAGCTACTTCAACTCATCCTCAAGAAACCCTCGGAAGCAAGAGAGAAAGGAGCAGGGACAAGAAGAGCAGGATAATAACCAGCAGAGGCCCAAAGAGGACGAACGGGGCTTCAACGGATTCAATTCGAACAAGAAACCTCCAAGCCCTGACCCCAGTATGAATCCAATGCGAGGAAACGACTGGCTTACAATGGTCGTGGGCTCGGCTATTGCGTACTGGCTTTACAATTCCTTGTTTGAAGAGAGTGGCCGGGAGATCACATGGCAAGAACTGAGGAAGAATTTCTTAGACAAGGGTCTTGTTGAAAAAATGGTTATTCAGGGCCACCGAGTCCGCGTTGAGCTCAACCGAGATGCGACCCAGTCTATGTATCCTGAATCAGTTGCGACACGTCCTGGTTTTAACTACTACTTCTCTATCGCCTCTGCTGACGCTTTTGAAAGGCGTTTGGAAGAAGCACAGAACGATCTCGGGATTCCAAGCAGCGAGAGGATTCCCGTTAGCTATGCCCCTGAAAGCCCATTATTAAACCTCATGATGGCGTTTGGCCCAACAGTACTGCTTGTCGGTCTGCTCGTCTGGGCTTCACGGCGTGGTCCCGGCGGTGCTGGTGGATCTAGCGGTATCTTTGGTTTCGGAAAGAGTAAGGCGAAGCGTTTCAGTCACGAGACCGCCATCAAAGTCAAGTTTTCGGATGTAGCTGGAATGGACGAAGCCAAGCAGGAGATCATGGAGTTTGTGAGCTTCCTCAAAAAACCGGAACGGTTCCAAAGACTTGGCGCCAAAATTCCCCGTGGTGCGATTCTTGCCGGGCCTCCTGGAACTGGTAAGACGTTGCTTGCAAAAGCCACTGCAGGTGAATCTGGAGTGCCATTCTTCAGTGTGAGCGGTTCTGAATTCGTCGAGATGTTCGTTGGTGTTGGTGCGTCTAGGGTCAGAGATCTCTTTGCTACGGCGCGAAAGAACACACCATGCATCATCTTCATTGACGAGATTGATGCTATCGGTAGGTCCCGATCGGAGGGACAACGATTCGGAGGAAATGATGAGCGAGAAGCCACGCTCAACCAGATCCTCACGGAAATGGACGGGTTCAACACCACTGATCAGATTGTTGTTCTTGCCGGTACCAACCGAGTAGACGTTTTGGATAAGGCGTTGATGCGACCTGGTCGATTTGATCGACACATCAACATCGACGCCCCGACAATGGCAGGACGGCAAGACATCTTCAAAGTGTACCTGAAGAAGATTGTTACGCACGAAGAAATCGAATATTTAAGCGGACGGCTCGCGTCCCTGACACCGGGCTTCGCTGGTGCCGATATCGCGAACTGCGTAAACGAGGCCGCACTCATCGGTATGTTTCTTGATCTATCTCATCAAACAAACGTAGACACGATTACTAATAAGGAGTAGCTGCCAGGGGCAATGCTACATCAGTTACATTACTGCACTTTGAGCAAGCTATCGAGCGCGTAATTGGTGGTCTCGAGCGCAAGTCGCTCGTGCTAAACCCGCTAGAAAAGAAGACGGTAGCTTATCATGAGGCTGGACATGCTATCTGTGGATGGTTTTTTAGATATGCGGATCCGCTGCTCAAGGTTTCGATTATACCCCGAGGTAAAGGTCTCGGATATGCGCAATACGTGCCAGGAGATGCATACCTGATGAACTACGAGCAGTTGATGGACCGAATGGCTATGACGTTAGGCGGCCGAGTCTCGGAAGAATTGCACTTCCCTACGGTCACAACGGGAGCTAGTGACGACTTTGATAAGGTGACTCGAATGGCCACGTCTATGGTAACGAAATGGGGTATGTCAGAAAAAGTTGGGCTGCTACACTTTCGCAACGACGACAGCAAGATCTACAAGCCTTTCTCTGAGGGGACAGGACAAGTCATCGACGCAGAAGTGAGACGCATTATAGAGCAGGCGTATAAGAAGTGCAAAGACCTTTTGCTGGAGAGAAAGGAGGAAGTAGGGCTTATTGCGGAGGAACTGTTAAAAAAGGAGGTGCTAGTTCGGGATGACATGGTTCGGATTCTAGGTCCTCGACCATTTAGTGACAGGGACGACTTTTCTAAGTATTTCGGTGGTGATGCTAGCAAGGCACCACCGGGGCCTCCGCCAGCACCGTCATCACCATCGCTTCCCGATGCTCCTGAACCCCCATCAAGCCCTGCATTGTTCAGGGAAGTTAAGAGCAATGATGGCAGGTAGCAATTGTGTATATACGACCTAATAATCTCGGGAGGTTATTTCCGGCCAGGAGCTGTCGAGGGCTCTCGTCACGATATATGATGACACGAAGCTCCCAACTCATCCTATGTATATTTAAATAATGATGAGAAGGGGGGAAAATGGGGCGTGCCACCCCGCCGCGGTCTGCATATACTGTACAATACTAGATAGAGGTCTCATAATCGCAAGACACTGGACTAAAGTTCAGATGTAGGAAGACAAAGTAGATTTTCGTAGACGACGCCGATGACGGCATTCCTCATTTTTGCCCACAAGAGTTTCGATTTCCCGCCCAGATGAAGACCCCCCGGTCCCGGATGCGGCCAGCGGCCAGCGACCTGCGGCCTCAGGAACACTTTTCTCTCCCGCTTAATCCCCCAGTCTCTCTGTGGGGAAGCGGCTCGGCAACATGAAAACTAACCCAAACCAAGTAGAACATACGTCAGGATGCCCATCTTGGATTAAGTAATTGTAGGCCCTTTTTTCTCTCTTTTTTCTCTTTAAAGAAAAAAAGAAGTAAGGTACACCGCCGGTCTAGGCTAATTAACTGATATTTCATAATAGTAGCTGTTTACTCATCGGCCTATTGCTATGTCGTCGCTTGGACTCGAATTCATATTCTGGTTTAGCTAACAATCTATTGTTGCTGCTTTGCCCCTTTCATCGAGCTGGGTTCTGGGGACGGACGTATAGATTCATCGGCTCGATTTACTTATACACCCAAGTTAAGGGGGCTAGGTGCATATACGTATATACATCTTGGTGAAGGTAGGGATTCATTACGACCTACATAAATATTTTATGTACTAATATACCGATCGTGTCTTCTTAAGTCTTGGCGGTGTCCGTTACGGAATTTTATTTTGATTTTATTTTCATCGATTAGAATTGGGATAGTCCGCCTCGTGCGCCATGTCGCGGACCGCAGACTCGCTGACCCTACCCACGGCGATGCATTCCCCCGGGGGCGGCCACGGCGGCGGGACGACCGAGTCCGGAACTGGACCTAGCCCGTCGCCGAGCGCCAGGATCCGGCAATGGACGAGTTCCCTGCTGATATCGTCGCGCAATGCCTCTGGCCGCGGCGACGACGACGCGGAACAGCGCGCTGCGTATACGCCCGATGGCTGGTGGAAGATCCATCTCTTCCGCGGCATGGTCAACGACGTGCGTCGCCGGGCGCCGTATTATTGGAGCGACTGGCACGATGCTTGGGATTATCGCGTTGTGCCGTCGACGGTTTATATGTATTTCGCTAAGTACGTGCCCCCCCTCCCCCGGATCCTTTCCTTTCCTCGGAACTGGAAATTTTGGTTGGCGCCTGCTTCTGTATTCGTGTCTTGGAATCGAAGTATGAGAGAGAGAGAGAGAGAGAGAGAGAGAGAAGAGAGAGAGACTCTAACATCACGTCCCTTCTAGTATCCTGCCCGCTCTGGCCTTCTCGCTAGACATGTTCACAAAGACAAACATGCAGTACGGCGTGAATGAGGTGCTGTTGGCGTCGGTCCTTGGCGCCGTAGTGTTTGCTATACTGGCTTGTCAGCCGTTGGTTATCGTGGGAGTTACGGGTCCTATTACGGTGTTTAATTAGTACGTCTACTCCTAGGTTCTGTTTTTGCATCCCGCATAGTATCCCGAGACCTGACTGAAGGGGCTAGTACCGTCTAC